TATTGATTGGTGTTTTGATTGGTATGTTCTCAAACACGATTGGTGGCTTTAGTGGTTGGAAACAAAGAATAGCTGCTGTATTTTTATGTCTTGGCTTATGTTGTATACATCTTCGTTGATTATATCAATTTTTTATTCATATATTAAACGTATTTCTACATGCTGGTTGTCAATTTTTATATCGAATTTGGCATCGTCTTCGTGCAATTCAGTTTCATACTTCATCATCAATTTTATCTGCTGAAGTTGGAATAGCATATGATGCTGATGCACAATCTATCTCAACTCGATTTTGAAAAGAAATGTTGATGAATTCAAAATTCATACATTTTTTACTCATTTTTATTATTCTCAGGTGAACAGTTCCATTTTGTTATTAGTTATTTTTTTCTTTGATGATATATGTATGCTTCAATAAAATTGAAGATCCAGAAAAAGCTTTGTTTCTTCGAAAACTATGACAGAAAAGAGTTTATCAAGTAAAGTTCAAATTCTCTTTTATAACGAGAGAAATGTTTTAGCTAATTTGTTGCTGATTGCATAGACTGATTTGTTCAATATTGATTCTTTTCTAAATTGAGGATTTCAGTTCAAGTTCAATAGATGGCTTGAGTGTAATTGTAGGTGGCTTCGTCTGTTCGTACATTCTCATATGCATTCTAATTAATTCACACCGAACATCCACAGATCTCAGCCACACTCGCATGCTTATCTCACACTGACACACTCTTATAAAGTAAAACTAAAAATATCTTTTTGACTGCATAATTTTAATTATTATTCTTAGAAATTTTGATTAGTCGATAGCATATTTATATGAATGAATCAATTTGAACTTTTTGGTACGACTGAGATTGTGACTGTGTTTGAATAACAAATTTTGTTTGTCTTGACCAATTTGAACTATTGTTTTATAAATTATTCTTCTCTGGGTGTCACACCTATATCCACATAAAAAATGATCTCTCGAGTTCATACCATTGCTAACGTACAAGGCTCACGCAAACTGAAAAAATCGTATTTTATAGAGAGATTTTCATAACAAAAACGAAATTTCCTATAGGGATTTTGTCAGAAAGTCAAGCTCAGTTCTTTTCAGGCGAGAGTCTCGGGTAACAGTCAAGAAAAATAAGAATTTGGAAAGAATAACGACAAGAACATGGACTGGATAGTGTTATTACAATCGATACATAAAGTTATGAATAACTGATAAAAATATGTATGCTTATTTATGCTACAATATGTTTGTAAAAGTTTAGAAGAGTTTGTCAAATTTTCTATCCAGATGACTTTGAGTACCTGTAAAAACTGGGAACACCTACGATTACTGCCTAACTTGAAAAAAAACCAGAGTTCGAAACGAATATCATACGAGCACTCATTCTGGAATGTGATTTTTATTTTCAACTACGATATAGACTTTTCCGTAGAGATGGAGTTCCCCAAGCGCCCATAATTACGTCCATATTTATTTGTAAAATATGTTGTATAAGTAAAAATCAAAGCAAATATTGATGTCTGTTGATATTTGTAACTACAAAAAGGCTATATTTCCGCTGAAAACAAAGATTGCAGTCTAGAATAGATGTCTGTATAAACCTCGTTTCGAGCTCTATTCTTTTTTTTACAGCTTTGGTGGTATTCGCAGTTTTTACAGATACCCGATGGCTTAGGTTATTTATTGATGTTTCATTACATGTGATAATTGGTATCTATTAGAGAAAAATATAGATACAGCCGATCATACTTTTTTTTGCATTGCAACACAGTCATGAAATTTCGACTGAATCAAAATATTTCTTTCACAACCAAAACACTGAAAATAACTTGGTTATAAACCCATGGCTGTTACTGTTCAAACAGTTACTTTCGCAGCACTTGTTCGCCATACACTGGTTCCCGTGATGTATTCTTACAAACGATAAGTTGTTAGAACTCTTGATAATCGGAAGTATACTGAAATTCTATGTAGACATCGTTATTATACCTACCATTTCAGGCGGCTTAATATTATGCAAGAAAGAGTCATGAGAATATCTATCTGAGAAGCAACATTTGTCTTACATTTGGAAATGTAATAGTGAAAGTTTTAAAAATGGCACAAAAATATTCCCTCTACTGAAAGGAGGGTCATACACCGAGCAAGGTTCGTATGTTCGTAAGTTCGTAAGTTCGTAACTTCGTTCGTTCGCACAGAACACAAAAATGTTTGTATGAAATTCAAGATAGTGTTTACGGAATAGCCAAACAAACTTCGAAAATCTATACAAATTCTCTAAATATTTTTTTATTGAATTTACCAATTAGTGAGAAGCGAACTGCCACCGACCAATATCTTCATGGAACATGATATCCAGAAATTTTTAGATAATCTGTTTTATATATAAAACCAGATAAAAAAGATGTAATAAACGATGCTAAAGTCACTTTTTTAATCAATCATTCTACCATAACAGTCAATTAATGGATTAATAGAAGCAAATTGATATAAAGTGAAAAAATTATAAAAAATCAGTCCAAACATATTATATACGCTGTAGATAAAAAGCTTACTAATCATTCAAGCTTAAACAAGCATTCACCATTTGACCGATAAAAAAATAAAAACAACGCCATTGAATTTAGAAAACACTACGTGATGAAACTTCACCAAACATTCGAAATCGGTACGTCCTCATCATTCAAGAAAATAGATAGCTTTTTGAAAAAACGAAAAAAGAATTTGATGAAAAAAATCTAGCCAATCGCCAATGTCCCCATCATCGAAAAAGAAATAGATAGCTTTTTGCAAAAAAACGAAAATTCGATGAAAAATAATCTAACCAATCATCAATGTCCCCATGTCCCCACTTTTATAAAAAATAAATAGTACTTGCAAAAAAGAAAAAGAAAATTTGATGAAAAAAGACTTAAGATGAATATTCAAGCCTGTGCAAGAATTTTTTATTTAATTTCAATTATGCAGTGACCTAATTTTGGCTAGGCAAAGTTACATTCAATATTTTCAAGACAACAAACTTTATCATGAGTTCAATTTTGCCTAAATACCAAATTTGCCTGACACATATACAAACCCTGTATATGTTTCGAAACAAAAGTTGAGAGGTGAGTATGATTGGAAAACCACTTGGAACAGTACTCTTGGGATTTTCTGTAAGTCTTAGTGGTATGCGGCAGCTAATGTTTGTGCACTGGTTGTTTATGGAAGTTGTTTCAATGAAACGAATGTGGTTCGGTTGCCTCAGATTCTAGATGTAGTTTGTTGATTTGCTACTATGAGATCACATGAAGGTGTATTTGCAAGTGTTGTCAGATTAGATGTTGGTAATAAAATTTGGCTTACATTACTGGTCTTCTCTGAAATCTTCACTTGAGAAAATTTTCTTCTAAGACGTGCGTCATATGTAGTTTCTCTTGTCGTGCATAGGTGTCAATTACTGCTTGGAAATCGAATTGCATCCGCAAACAATTGTGACTTTCTATGGATATATTGGGTTTACATAATTGAAATTCTTTTCATTCTTTTTAACCTTTTATGGCTTTTATTTCAAAAAGAATTTCATAGAAGTTTCACAAATGATCTAATAGCTATAATTGTATAACAAATATATTTCAAGCATGCAATATAGTTTCTTTATGAGTTAAACGGTTTGCCTGAAGGTCACGGCACTCTTGTGATTCTGTTGTTTTAAACAACGAATTGAAAACGTTTCCGAGTACTTTGTGCTATTTTATCTAATCTTTTAAGTTCTGCTATTTGGGCCGTTGATGGTTTAACTTCAAGTGTTGCGGAGTCAAATGGACGTATGATTAGTAAGTCGTCAAGTCTCTTTACACGAGATAACGAAACATAAACCGATGCGAGTTCAACTGGGCCAGGCGGCATCACCAGATCTACGATAATTTTACTTAGTGTTTGGCCTTGGCTTTTATGTGTTGTTATGCTGTATGCAGGTATAAGTGGAAGTGCTTTACGTTTGACGGTAAGTTTTGTTGTTTTCTTGTTTATTTTGGCTGCTTTTGCGACATTTTCTGGAAGAAGTTCTTCAGCATCGAACAAGAATGTCTGTTCGCTTATAGCTATAGGAACTATTTTGGAAGACAGTTCAGCAAGTTTTTCATCAAGTTTGCAACCAGGAAATTCTACTAAAGCATACTTTAGTTGTGTTATAAACTTGGTATTTGGTGGAAAATTCTGATGGTGGTATCGATCATCTTGTGGTGATTCATCGTATACAAGTTGACGAAAGCTTCCTCGCGTACCGTTAGAGAGTCCCAGTTCAGTAGCGATGTTTTCTGTGAGTAAAACTGGCATTCCTGGTACAAGAGGCAGATACCCTGGAAGATGTTCGGTTTTATTGTCAGGTAGTTCAAGTATGGCTTTACGTAATCGTGGATCATCCACTGGTTTTCCTTGAATATAATCGTGAGCAATACAAACAATTGGGGTGAGTCCCATTTCCATTGTTTTGTTTAAGACAGCCCTGTTGTTAATTTGAGTGCGCAGCGTATTCCGAAAAACCAATATTGGAGCCTATTAAAAGAAAATTAATGCGATACAGAAAGAAAATGTATGTGCATACTTCGTTCCATGGCTTTTGTTGTAGAGATACTTGAAGTTTTGGATTTCCTACGACTCTCGTGCATAGCAGTTCATAATCTTCTATTGTTGACTGTCCACTTCTTAATCTATTTAAAAGCTCCAAATATCTTACGTCTTCAGTCCGCATTTGCTGAGTTAATTCAACAACGCAGTTTATTTCAGACATGAGTTTCTGTGCACACATTATATCTATCTGACGTTCGGTAATTTTCTGTGTCGATGCGCAGCTATAGTACAGAGGCTTGCCCAGAACTGGAGAATATTGAAGGTAGTCGCCGAAGAAAATGACATTGATACCACCAAAAGGTATCTCAGAATTTACATGCTTGGCTGTTTTCACTATACGATTTAGACGAGCTAAGAGACTAAGTCCTACCATGCTCATCTCATCGATTATCTAGTACTTCACATGACGCCACTCATTTTCTAATTTCATATCACCAGGTATAAATGTACGGGTTTGTTTCTTTTTACCGTTTTTGCGATTTTCACTTAAAAATGAATGGATAATTAACCCGTCAATCTTAGCTGCTGCTATAGATGTTGGTGCCAGTTTACGCAGCATCTTGCCCCGTTTTGTTAGTTGAAAATACTCTGTAATTGCACGAATCAATTGAGATTTTCCAGTGCCACCGCAGCCAGGTATGCACATCAATAACTGATTATCGATAGTACCTAAATATCCAGACTATTCAAAATTTCCAATAACAAAATCCAGGAAATATACCGATATTAGCATGATTTTCGCCATCTAAGTGACTAGTAACAATCATAAAAGCATATTTTTGCTGAGTATTTAGTGTAAACTGTCTAATAATATCTTGTTTTGTTGGAAATAAAATTGCATTGGTTGTAGTCACAGGTGGAACTCTTGTAAGTCTTGTTTTAATTGGGCTTGTTGGAATTTCAGCGTCTACGACTTCAATCTGTGTTTCATCATCTGGTACTTCCAGAGTACCATCGCTTGAAATTAAATAGTTTCTTGCTTCATCTCGTCGGACTTCAATGTCACGTTTCCACTCTTTAATCATGGTCGTATGATGCTCGCGAGCTACGACAAATGTATGGACGTCGTGTATGATATCATACTTAGTTTCGCCCTTACCACGTGTACAGCCTAAAACAAACTAAATATTTTCGAAATATGGCAGTAATTAACTCACCATTGAGTAGTGCAAATCTATCTGTATTATCAATTGCTTGTAATGCATCACGAACATAGCGTTGTTCATGAGTACCTGCCAATGCAGAGTAAGCGTTTGTGGTGGTCTCATTTACGATGGAGAGCATTTGTAAAAGTTGCTCAGGATCATCTTCGTCTGCATTTTCATCACCTTCATAGTAGTTAGGCATCAAAATAGGTTCAATGCTATTTTCATTTTGGGCTTCTAAAAGAGCTTGATGAAGGTGCTCATCTCGATCGTGTTTACATTCGTGTAAAAGTTCTATATTTTCTATTATCTTAAGCGAGTTGGGAGAGATCAATAATCTTCGTGCTTCCAATGCTTCTGACCATGTCTGATTCAGTTCACAAAGATCTTGAACTGATCGCCATGGAACGAATAATGTTAACAATGCACGACAATAACGTTCATGGGTATCTTCTCGTTCGCGGCGAGGTATTTGAGGACCTATTAGGACTGGTACGACTGGAGTGGAACGTTTAATTATGAGATGAGATGTTGATTGTGGATGTGCGCTGTGAAATGTATGACGTCCATTCATTTTTGTTCCTTCCGTAGGTAATTGCTGGTCTTGAGAACTGATTACATTCTTTAGTAAATGACGCTCCGATTTGTCGATAACCTTCTTGTGAAAATGGCTCACAAAGGCATATAAGCACAATGCACTTAGATCCTTTGATCGATGCTGATAGTCAAGACGATTATTGACTAAGACATATCGATCGCCGTTGTTGGATTTTGTTGGTTCTAATAAAAATTGTTCTTCAATTTCATTTTTATCCTCTTTTTGTTCATCGTAGAAAGGCAATGAAATCTCTAGAAAGCTATTTATTAAAAATCTATACAATTATTTTAAAAGGTTCTACCGTCTATTTTCTCTTCGACTATTTGCTCTTCGTTAATTCGTGCTTTATTTAGTTCTGTTTGTAGATAGTTTTCGATTGAAATGAGAAAAAGATTTTTGAACGTATGTGTAGTATAGTGGTCACCGTAGTTCATAAGATATGATGCAACTTGAACACCTGAAACTTCTTGTTGTGAAGCAATCATATTGAAGCAGCGCAACACTAGTTTACGCGATTTGTCAACAATATTATCTGTGCTATTAGAAATTCGTTCATGCTCGATAGATTTGATGCCTTGTTGTGCAAGTGCAAACATATCATAGAAGGGCAGAGTAGACTTTGTCACGTAGTCAGTTATATAGTAGGCTAATGCTTTGGCGTCGTTACCACTCCAGATGAATTTAATGTCCATGTTCGATCGGCACGCACTTAAAAGCCATTCATTAAAGTTATTGATCCACGGATGCGATCGACGCATGGTTATTTGACCCGTCATAGGATCAATATTAGAAATCTTGACTAATGCGCGTGGCATGATCAGTCGACAAATTTTTGGTCCCTCTTTTTTGCCTTTAGAATATTTATAGCAAGTCGCAGAATGCTTGTGAATATTACAGGTTTCGACCAATTGAACTACATCTTTCTGAAACGTTTGATCAAAGTCTTCCAAGGCAGAATTTAGTATTGGGAGACATGCTGGTATAACTTCACTTGCTATCGGCTCAGTTTCTCCTAAAATGAAGTGAAACTTATAATTAAATATTCTTATAAGCTTTAAAGCTCACCATTTAATGTTCTTCTGTCACTTGTTGTACTTGTTCCGTCGTTGGTTTCATCTTAACAAAGAATATTGATATTCACAAGTACCAAAAATTAGAAGTCTCATAAATATATAGTAAGAGTAAGCGATTGGAGTGAAATATGTTTTGGTTTAATGAAAATTTTGAAAATGTTCTGAAGGTTCAAGTTCAAGGCAAGACACTGATACACTATCAGCGTGTAAAACAGTATCAGGTAGGCGAATATAAAAACTTCAAATCACAGATTCAAACAATGTTAAATATATTACCTCGAAACGAATCTAAATCTTCTTTTATGGCATCTTCTAAATATTTTAGTAAATTTTGACGAAAATGTTGATTTTGAATATTTTCCTTCAATTGTGCTGGAGTATATTGATGATTGACCTAAATCAAGAGATGTAAATGAAGCGATCCTCTTCCTTGATTCTCTACAGTGCCGAAATGCGCTTTTGTAACACCGAGCACACCACCGACTACTAGGCTTTTCAGAACGTTTTTTATTAAACAATTGAAGAACTTTGCATTTGCAACAGGATGCATCGCGACAATTGGAGCACGCTCATAACTTGTACGCAGGACCTCTGGCAGCACATTATCAAGGTCAAGATCGATACCTCCAAAGTAAAGTGCCACTGGATTATGGATGTCAACCGGATTGATTGTGAGGAAAAGACTAGAAAGACCAAGATAAAAACACAAAGAATGAATTTTTGTAAGAAGAGCTGATCGCGAACAAGCTGAGCTCACGACATGGCCACCAATAATTTTGATGTGCTTCATCAACATATTTATTCTCTCGTCAGTAACTTTTGAAAAAGGCGCTATTGAGATATTAATAAGGGCTGCTGCTATATCTTCAGATTTTAATGAGTTAAGAACTTGTGCAGATTGTTGAAACCACGGTTTTGTTGTCATTAATTAGGCGTGGAAACATGTTGTTCGGCATTGTAAAATATTGAACACAACACATATAAAGGAGTAGTGTTGTTCAAAGCGACGATCTGCATACGAAAGAAGATATCTGAGATGCTCACGAAAATTGATTTGAATCGATCGAGAACCATCCTCAAGCCCACCACATCCATATGGAAATAGTGTGGAAAAGATTCTTAATGATTGATTTGGATTAGAATATTCACTAGCCGGCTTGTTGCCACGAGGAA